GGGCCATCACGAAGAAAATCACGGAAAGAGTCCCAGTCAGCTTTAAGGTAGTTGTATGTGGTACGATGATAGGGGGATTCTGATGAAGTAGAAGAATTTGATAATAGTTTTAGAGAGATCAAACCGTGATCAGAAGTACCTAAGGGTGAATGTGGAGAAATTGAGCACTGACTAGGATCCAAAACAAGACATAAGTCGAGTAGAGAAGGTAAATGATTAGGGTTGTCTGGAAAACGAGTTGGAAAGTTGACTATTTGAGTTAGAGATTGAGAAAGGCAAAAGTTGAGGGCCTTAACGCCAGCAGAGTCACTGACACTAGAGCCAAGCCAATCGGTGTGATGGGCATTAAAGTCACCAACAACGACGATATTGGCCGATGGATAAAGAGAGAGGGCTTGGTCAATTTGATCAGAAATAACATCAAGAATAGTGCAATCTTGGGATGAAGGAGAGCGATATAGAACAAAGAGAAAGGCGATAGAGTGAAGTTGTGCTAAACGAAAGCACATAAATGAATAGTCTGTAGATTCAAACCTAGTTTCACGACAAATGGGTGAGTTCTTACGAATGTAGATGCCCAGGCCAAGCATGTGATTATTGCTACAATTACTAATATTTCTCCCAATGTTTTGACAAAAGTTACTAGTGCAATCCTTGATAGTTATGGTGTTGATCTTACAAATGTATGTTGCAGCTGGTCAACAGCATCTAGAAAGATAAAACAAACAGCTCAAAAAATGGCAATTATTGCTAAAGAAGATGTCGAATTTAGCATCCAAGAGTCTTCCTACCCATGCATTGCTCATTTTGATGAAAAAACACTTTTCAAAATTAATTATGGAAAAAAACTAAAGCATGACAGACTAGCTAATCTGGCAACTATTGATAAGGAGTCACATCTTCTCGGTGTTACACCATTAGCCTCTTCATCAGAGGAAGATCAGTATAATAAAGTGATAAAACTCCTAAAAGAGTACAATCTTGAATCAAAGATTGGATTACTTTGTTTTGATACAACATTAAGCAATACAGGTATATATAAAGGATCTCTTATAAGAATATCTACTGTGCTAGATAAATATTTAATTCTCTTGGCTTGCAGACATTATGTTTCTAAGTTGAGAGTCTCACACTTCTGTGAAGCTGTAACAAATAAAAAAACTATGGCTCCTGATAATCATCTACTTAAAAAATTCAAAAACTTGTTCAAGCAGCCTAATTTCATGTGTAAACCATCTTTGTTAGTTATATTTTCTTGGGAAGAAGTTAAGGGAACTGTTGTTAAAAATGCTGCTACAGAATTTCTTGACTGAGTTTGTTCAATTCTTAAGGCAACAGACACCAAAGCAAGTATTAATCAAGAAAAAAATCACTGATGGATTACTTAGCATACGCTACAAAATACAGAAGATAAATTGAATTTTAGTATTAATCAAAACAAAATATGTTACAAAAAAAAAAAAGTTTCATTCAAAAGTTTCATTTAAACTTTGAAAAGTATTCTAAAAAGATTGAAATAAAATAGAATTTCTTGTTGAGATGTTAAACAATGTGATTATATATAAGTCATATAAGTGTAGAATTATTATGCAATCTTTTGTTGAATATACATATATATATATATATATATATATATATATATATATATATATAATATATATATATATATATATATTGCGTCAAAATGCCGCCATGAAAATAAATTTCTAATAAAAAACTTTAATGTCATCAAAGCGGACACTCCATAGCATTTTTTGTATATAATTTTTGTCGTTACTTTTTATTGTTGTTACATCTGATGATCGCTATTGCGTGAAACTTTTAGTTATGTAATTGAAATATATCTTAATAATTATTTAGTTTTCACTATATTTGCTCTACTAATTATATAAAACGCTGTATTGAGCACTCTTACTGGAAATATTAACATAATTCCTACAATATTATCGCTCCTTTATGTTGAGCACTCTCTAATATCTTCAGTTATATTAAATAATTACAGTTATGGAAAATCATTATTTCAACTATTCATTAAAGAACGTACCATTACCATCCAAAAAACAATACTTAAAATGCCTAACGGAGAAAGTCGAGTCACTAATAAAGCGAATGAGATGGAAAGCTTTGATGCACGAAAATAGTTCTAATCAAGAGCTCGCCTATAATTTCGATCTCAAGTCTAGAAAATCTCCACCGCAACATCCCGATTTAGTAAGTTTTGAAAACGATTTATTTAAGCTAATTAAGAACATTTCATTTTCTACAATTCAAAACAATTTTCAAAAGCAACTGCAAACTGACATAGTAAAAATAAAATCTTCAAGTAATGTTTTTGTCTTTGCTGATAAATCTAGAAACCTGTATGAGCTAGACAAACCTTCATATCATAAACTTTATACTGAAAATATTACTAAAACCTATAAAAAATCTGATATCACACAATATAACATCATTAACATAGATGCTAAAATCATAGCAAAAGACTTGGGCATAGATGATAGGCTAGAGCGTCTAGCCATGAATACTGCATTCATTACCTTAAAAGATCATAAGGATAATTTCCCCAACAATATACAGTGCCGATTAATAAATCCAGCTAAACCAGAACTCGGAAAAGTAAGTAAAATTTTGTTAGATGATATCAATAGTAAAGTTAGGAATGCTACCCACGTACACCAATGGCACAGCACAAATGACGTCATAAAATGGTTCAAATCCATACCCGAAAAAAATATATGTACTTTCATTCAATACGATATTGACGAGTTTTACCCTTCAATTTCGAAACAACTTCTTCAAGATTCTATAAACCATGCAAAACAGTTCACCAAAATTCCTGATAAATCACTGAAAATTATTTACCACACCAGGAAATCTTTACTTTTTTCAGGAAATAATATGTGGATTAAAAAGTCGACGGACCCTAATTTCGATGTCACCATGGGTAGTTTTGATGGAGCCGAATTATGCGAACTAGTTGGCCTCTATATCTTATACACTATTGCCAAAGAATATGGTCTTAATACTACCGGTCTATATAGAGATGATGGTCTTTGCTGCTTCTATAATATCAGTGGTCCTCAATCGGAAAAAATAAAGAAAAATCTAATAAAAATTTTTAAAGACAATTTTAATCTTAACATCACTATCAAACCAAATTTAAAAACCGTAAATTTTCTTGATATCACATTCAACTTTTCTGAGAACTCTTTTAAACCTTATAGAAAACCAGGAGATAATCCTTTATATATTAACATCAATTCAAACCACCCTCCAAGCATTATTAAATCGATACCAAAAATGATCTCTAACCGCATCAGTAACATATCTTCAAGCAAAGAAGCTTTTGATAAAGTCGCACCATTTTATAATAATGCCCTCAATTCTTGTGGATTCAAAGATAAGATCAATTTCACTCCAAATATCCAGAAATATAATAAAAAATCTCGAAAAAGAAACATTATCTGGTTTAACCCACCTTATTCACTCAACGTCAGAACAAACGTAGCCAAAACTTTTTTGAGTACAATTGATAAATGTTTCCCTAAAGGCCACAAATTTCACAAACTTTTTAATCGAAACAACTTAAAGGTTAGTTATAGCTGCCTTCCAAATATCAAGAGTATTGTTACTTCTCATAATAAAAAGATATTATTTCATTCTCATGAAAATGCCAATCAATTATGCAATTGTCGGCAAACCACCTTATGCCCACTCAATGGAAAATACCTTACAAAAAATCTTATTTATATTTGCAACGCAAAAACTCACCAAGAAGAAGAAGGATATTATTACGTTGGGCTTACTGAGAAAACTTTCAAAGACAGGTGGTACAAACATAAAAACTCCTTTGTTTATGAAAGTAAGGCCAACTCCACTGAACTTTCGAAATTTGTGTGGGAATGCAAAAATAAAGGTATAGAACCTATTTTAAAATGGAATATCCTCGATCAAGCGGAGCCATTCAAACCTGGTGGTAAATTTTGCAATTTATGCTTGACAGAAAAATACCACATTATTACGTCGCCATTGAATTTGCTTAACAAAAGAACCGAGCTTGCGTCAAAATGCCGCCATGAAAATAAATTTCTAATAAAAAACTTTAATGTCATCAAAGCGGACACTCCATAGCATTTTTTGTATATAATTTTTGCCGTTACTTTTTATTGTTGTTACATCTGATGATGGCTATTGCGTGAAACTTTTAGTTATGTAATTGAAATATATCTTAATAATTATTTAGTTTTCACTATATATATATATATATATATATATATATATATATATATATATATATATATATATATAAATATATATATATATATATATATGTATATATATATATATATATATATATATATATATATATATATATATATATATATATATATATATATATATATGTATATATTATATATAGCATACTAGATAGATGTATATATATGTACGTATATATTTATATATATATATAATTATATACATATATATTCATAATATTTTATTTTATCCATAATTTTATCTAAATATTAAAGAAACTTGATAAAAAAAATGCAAATAAAACTTAAGCATTATCAGCCCTGGTGGCTTGTGCTGCCCGCTAAGTCTATTTTAGACATGCTTTTCATCACTTGTGCACTCTTTTATTTTTGGGTTATGTATGTATGTATATATGTATGTATGTATGTATGTATGTATGTATGTATGTATGTATGTATGTATGTATGTATGTATGTATGTATGTATGTATGTATGTATGTATGTATGTATGTATGTATGTATGTATGTATGTATGTATGTATGTATGTATATATGTATGTATGTATGTATATATGTATGTATTATGTATTCATGCATGTATGTATTATGTATTCATGCATATGTATGCATGTATTATGTATTCATCCATGATGCATCAATGTATGTATGTGTTGATATATAACATTATATGTAACATATTAAAATTTAATTTAGATATTATTAGATAAGTTAATTTAATTTAGATATTGTTCGTTTAACATACGGATTTGATATCAATTTTATCGATGAAGAAACCTTAAGTATTAAAAAATTTTCTTTTTAAATTTTTTATTAAATTAAAATTTATCTTTTTATTTATTATCAGTGGTCGATATTAAATCTTCCTACAATATTTTTTCACCTTTATATCTTAGAATCGGTTCATTTTTACTTTGTATGCTGTTCATTGTCCAATATATTTATATCGGATTATATTTACATCATCCAAATAATTAGCATTATTTAAAAATAATAATAATATTTAAATAATAATAATAATTGATTTATTTATAAATATAGTTTATTGACTTTAAATTGACTGTGATAGAATATAACAGAGTCTTAAAAATTTTTTTTTTGACGTTTTGTTCAAAAAAAAGTTTCTAAAACTCTAAAAAAAAATTAATAGTTTGATATTGTATTATGATGACAAATCAAGTTTAGTTTTTTTTAATAGAGATAAAATTATAGCATTCTATGAAATTTATTCCCATAGATTATGGGCGACATGCTTTATTTTGTTCTCAAAATTCAATAAGATTTTAGTCAATTTTTTAAAATAAAAATGAGTAAAAAATGTGGCATCTTTAGATTCCCCAAACCATTATCAAAATAATGCATTTCTAAATTGCTTCGTTGTCATTTTGCTGTCTTAATTTTTATATTTTTAGTTATACTTTTTGATATTACCATATATTTTTTATGGACTGAATATAAAGTAAAAATGAACCAATTTTAAAGTGTAGATGATTTGGATGATTTCACATGGAATGACCATAAAAGTTAAACTCAACAATTTTGTTTTTAGATGTTTGTTTACCTGGAGTGGTTTTTAAATATTTTGTTTTAACATATGGTCGTTTAACAAAATTAAAGCTGAATGTTTTTCGAAAAGGAACTCTAAGAATTGCTGTTAGTATTTTTTAAAATTTTTTATAGTAATTAAAGAACTTGAAATTTAAGAATTTGAACCTCTAAAAGGGATTTTTAGAGCAAATAAAGCCAGCTATATCTATCAACAACATATTTAAAAAATTTCCAAAATTATATAAAATTTTTTGGAAGAGGTACTTTTTTGAATTTAATATTTCACTTAATTTTAAAAAAAGTTTCACGAACTATTGTAAAGTTATTGGTGTGAGTTTTTATTTTTTTTTTAGTTTTTTTTTATCTTTATTAAATTTTAATTTTCATTCAAATATAAAAATTAATAAGAGAAAAGTTTAAAATTAAAGATTATGTTAAAATAAAGGTAGAAATTAAATAGAAAAAAGATCACAGAAGTTCAAAGAAGGCGTAGAGGTTTTGTCATGAGAACTGCTAAAGTCAATGTCAATAAAAAGTTGATGTAAGCTCATACAAAGCAGTTTCTTGTTAATAAAAATGTTATTTGAAGTTTTCATTAAATTAACTTATGGTAAATTAAAATATGATGGGGTCCACTCTGGAAGCATTTTTCTTTGCATTTTTTTCATTTGCATCTTTTCACTTCATCACAAATGTTTTTTAAAATTGAAAATTGTTGAACTTTGAAAATGTTAATTTTAAAAAACGTTTTAAAACATTTCTAAAATGGACTTAAGACTAAAAATAAACTTTTTCTTGGGTCCCAAGGACTTGCACAATCTGAAATATCCAATAACGTCAATGACAGAAAATGTTGTGCGTCTATCGGATAAAGTTATACTTAGTTGCAGGTTCATGACTTTAAAAACACTGTTTAAAATCTTGAACACCCAACATTTCCCGTCATCGGTTTATCATCACAGCATGCAATATATTTTTAATGACAATATAAAGACTCAAGATTACTTTTATTTTTATTTCCCCATGATTTGCATAGTTTAGGTGGAAATTAATAAATGAATGACATAGTTGAATTAAAGTTTGGTTATTATAGTTGTTTCTTGTTTTATATAATATTCCAATAATTTTAGATATTTTACTGCCCAAATGCTCATGATAAATTTTCATTAATATAAACCTCTAAAAATTTGGTAAAATTTTTTTATTAGAATTTGTCAATTAAAGGGCAAGAAATTTCATTTGGCATTAAGGGTTTTTTAAAATGAGGGTGAATGAAGAAAATTCATTTGATTTTTTTAATATTGAGGGTTTATTTGTTATGAATCAATCAGTTTAAGACATAAACTAGATTAAAGAGATTTTAATTAGTTCATTGTTCATATTTTTAAATAAAGAATATACATTATTATGAGATAAAAATAGATTTGTGTCATCAGCAAACATAATGGTCATTAAGCTTGAGACTTTAGAAAAATAGAAAACATTAATGTAATTAAGAAATAGTAAGGGTAATAGTTAACTTGATATAACACATGTTATATCAAGCAAATTTCTTTGCCAATTTGAATCAAAGTAGACAAATTTGTAACAATTACTTAGATGGTTTAACTATCTGACTTAAACACACACATCTCTATGTTTTTGAGTAACACTTCCCCCCATACCTGTGTACATACTTTTTAGCAACCTATTTGTGTTTATTATTTTATTTAATTAAAAATCTTTTAACAGCACATGTCTATAAATATTTCTGATGTCATAGACAAAACTATTTAGAGTCATCCAGTTAGATGGACCTGGGAGATGTGAAAATAGAAACAGCTATTAGATGATGTAATTGGGTGAGAACCAGCAAGAAATGTAAAGACTATTTAAAAGAAGGAGAAAAAAATTTCACTGCTCAAGGGGAAGGTGGATACCATACCTCACTCTCAAGTCATCCTTAGCAAATGATAAATAAATAGCATATGAGTTAATTCTATATAAATCTGCTGGTTTTCAAAATGCTTATGTGACTAAAAATATTGCCTAATATAAACCAATAAAATATAATAAATAGATAAAGTTGCAAGAAAAATAATATTTAATGATAGTTTAAATAATATAAAAAAAAAAAGTGTCAATCTCATGGTTCGAACTATAAACCCTCTGATTATGACGCAGCGAACGAATCATGATCCATATTCTTAGGAATGCACTGTGATCACCTATGACACTTTGGGAGACCAAGACATGTACTAACGCCGCTCCTCAAGGGTGTGTTCTTGCAATAGATCTCAACGCCTGCACTATATATATTATCTTTAAATGCATATATATATATATATATATATGTATATATATATATATATATATATATATATATATATATATATATATATATATATATATATATATATATATATATATATATATATTATCTTTAAATTGTATAAGCATTTATTTTTTCAAAAAGTTGCACAAAAAAAAATTGTTTAAAAAAACACCGTTGTCTATTTAAAATAATCATTTTTATTCATTTCATACACTGATTAGTTAGTCAAGTTAAAAAAAACAAGTTTAAACAATTCTTTGTAAAAATAAAAACAAAAAAAACAAAAAAACAAGCAATTAAATCATTTATATATTTATAATTTAAAAGAACTTTTTATTTAAATTTTTAAATCTTTTAAAATTCTTTAAATTTTAAAAAATTTAAAATTTAAAGAATCACTATAATTAATTTTTTATTTTATTTAAACCGCAAAAAAAAACCTTAGAAAAGATACAATGATTAAAAGTTATTCATAACGTAACAATTTTTTTAATTGCATTTAAATTGTTAAAACATCAAAAGCCCTTTGGTCGAATTGTAAAGAAAAAAAATTATAAGTGTGGTTAGTTACAGCATGCGATCGCACGCCACCTCTAATCAAGTCTGATGTAGATGTATATATATATGTATGTATATATAAGCATCTACACATACACACATTTACACATACACACACACACACACTTTGCAAGTTTTGATAATTAGTGCTTTTTAAAAATGCGCTAAAAAACAGTACACTTTTATAAAAGCTTTTTATAAAAACAAACCAAACTATTAAAATAAAGCAAACTATTAAAACAAAGCAAACTATTAAAATAAACAATCCATAAACTAAAATGAGAATAAAACTGTCCATTTATGCGGATCAAGCCATGACATGAGGTCAACATTTTACTCTCTTTAACACGTTCTAGTGTGTACCACTGGTGTCTAGTGTGTATCACCGGTGGTACACACCGGCGTGAACGTGTTAAATAATGCAAATCAATTTTGAAAAGTATTAAAATCTTGATACATTCTTTGTGAAGCTCTAACGCTCTTTCAACATCTTCATGTATTGGATTAGTCATGCTATCTAGCTTGATGTCAAAGTATTTCTTGTTTTCTTTTTTTTTTCTTTTCGTGGTCTGTCATTAGGTAACCAGATTCAATGGAAACAACACCATCTTTTTCTTTTGTTACAACACCATCTTTTTCTTTTGTTACAAATTTTCTCATTGAACTACAAAATCAGCTTGTTCTAATGTTAGTGTGGTCAAATATTTTATTGTTTAGACATTGTTGGGGTATACTTGCCAACAAAACAATGTACTCAAAAAAAAGAGACAGCAGCCTCTTAGCATCAAGAAAATTGAGTTACTGTAATTTTACTAAGTGCATAATATTAAATTGACAAGGCAGCAGAAGCATGTTTACAGGACTCCTTTAGTTTAACAGAGTTTCTCTAAAGGTAGAATATAGTTTATCATAAATTTATCATATTTCACAAATTCTTTAAATGACTTTATAGCATCTTTAATGGCATATTCTAGTTGGTGATTAACACAGTGGATTTTAACTAAGCATGTGGAAGTTTTTTTAATTGAGTCTATGCTCCAGTGTAAATCTCCATATTGACATTAGCTCCATCAGCTGTTTGCAGAAATCAATAGCGTACTTGTTATCTTAATAACTTCTTAACTTAAAAGTAATGCTTTTAAAAGAAGTAATGCTTGGTTTGTTTTGAAGTTGTTGAAAATGCGTTTTAAATTTTAGTAACTAATTGTGTTTTATTATAAATAAAAAACTATCAATTAATTGGCAAAAAATTGCTAAAGTTATGCGTTTGTTTTAAAAAATTTTGAGCGAATGCAAATGTTTGCTTAAGTAAAAGTAAAGTAAGTGATGTCTTTTTTTTAACAAACGTTTGCATGTTTGTCAATTTGTTGTGCCTGCATGGACTACCAGAATACTGTACTCGAACTAGTACTGCTTCTTTGTTGCTGCCTGTTTTTTGTGCTTGACTACCATCTGAAAACAAAGACATAAAATGCTTGTTAACAATAATAGCTTCTATTATTTCAGTTATTGTTTGGATAATACAATTTATAAATTTTATTGCTTAAAAAAAAAATTTAGCAAATTGAAAATTACTATAATTGAAATGCAATAACTTTACTTTCATAAAGTGATATGCAATAAAAATATAATGTACTTGTTTTATATATATATATATATATATATATATATATATATATATATATATATATATATATATATATATATATATATATATATATATATATATATATATATATATATATATATATATATATATATATATATATATATATATATATATAGATATATAAATATATATATATGTATATATATATATATATATATATATATATATATATATATATATAAATATATATATATATATATATATATATATATATATATATATATATGTATATATATATATATATATATATATATATATATGTATATATATATATATATATAAATATATATATATAAATAGATATACATGTATATATATATATATATATACATATATATATATATATATATATATATATATATATATATATATATATATATATATATATATATATATATATATATATATATATATATTTATATATATTTGAGGAAATTGAGGGATTGAGGAAAAATAAGGTCAGTAATATATTGCCAAACTTAATCTGCGTGAGGTCAGCACGTGACATAAGCTGTACACATTAACTTTAAATAGATTTCAGTAATATCTTTGCTTATTTATGCC